GCGGTCCCTGTTCGTATGCGCTCTGAGGGATAGCCTCTCCCTCCCACATGTCCTCATGCAGTCGGACGCGGTAAGTGGTGTCATGAATCGCTTGGTAAGCCCCCACGGGCAGAGCATCAGACACCGTCAAAGAGGGGGACAGCTGCAACTCCCTCTCCTCATCCACTGGGCGGCCCTCGGAGCCGCTATCAGAAGATAGGGCAACTAAAGGAGCATTCTGGGGCGGTTCACTCTCGGCCTCAGAATAGTTAAAATCCCCAAGGTTATCTCCGACCCAGGAGGACGCCCCACGCCGCCCGCCGGGCGTGCCCACGTCAAAAGCCGGATCTGGTTCTACCCCTAAAAGGTCATAACGAAGACCGTCTAAGTATCACTAAATGAACCGTGCCAAAGATATCGCGCGTGTTGCAGTCAATTCTAAACCCTAATACTATACAACCGCACAAAAGGCAAGAATGAGTATGTACCTGGGTTTGTTTGGCGGTTCCCAGATGGCGCTCCGCCAGAGTTACCGCCGGACTTTGCAGAAGACCGGGGTACGCTAACGCCGGCACTGGAAGTCTGAGCGTCACCAGAAGCTGTAAAGGCCACATCGCTCGAGGTCGTGACGGCGGCAACGTCGTCGGAGAGATTTTTGTTTTGGCTATCGGAGGGGGCAGTGCTCTGGGATCCAGTCGCCATTTGTCGTCGGAGCTTCCTTTTCGCTCGTTTCTGGCGTCGTCGAAGCTTAGCAAGAAAATTCGCTCTTGTCGAAGACAGAGAGACGTTATCTCGTAGATAAGAAGAGAGGGAAAAACGAGAACACCGAGCAATTGTGGCGGAGGGATCAGAGAAAAGCAAAGCAAGGTGCTGGAAGAGAGTGGAAGAATGGTAGAAAGAGGAGGAATCGAGTATAAATAGGCGAAGGGGGGGGGGGGGGTAGACAGGCGACGGTTGAGTGACCTAGGTAAACCCTACCCTAGCAAATTCAAAAGTTGGGCAGCTGATTGGACGTGAGGCTGCCCGGTGTCAGAGCACGAAGACCGAGATCAGACACGTGGCGAGGCGTATGCGCGGCGCTAGGGAGCGTGGAAGGTGAATCGCTGGAAGCGGTTCAACTAAGCGCATATAGTAATAGGGGCAACAAGGCGGATAGGGCAGTCGACTACCAACAAAACAACCCAAAGGGGGTGGACAGCGGAATCGCTCAAACTTCAAAAGCGTCACAAAAAAGGGGTGGACAGCAAAATCGCTCAAATTTCATAAAAGCATCAAAAAGGGGGTGAACACTACAATCGCTCGATTTTCAGGAAGGCATCACAAAAAGGGGTGGACAGCGGAATCGCTCAACTTCTGAATCTCACAAAAAGGGGTGGACAGCGGAATCACTCAAATTGCATAAGCGTCACAAAAAGGGGTGGACAGCGAAACCGCTCAGATTTCATAAAAGCATCAAGGGGGTGAACAATGTAACGACTCGCTTTTCAGAAAAGCGTCACAAAAAGGGGTGGACAGTGGAATCGCTCAACTTCCGAATCTCACAAAAGGGGTGGACAGCGGAATCGCTCAAACTTCAAAGCGTCACAAAAAGGGGTGGACAGCGGAATTGTTTACAAGCATATTTGGAGCTGGGAGTGAATCATCGCAGTCATGGTAAAGGAGCACGGAGATCAATTAGAGGTGGACAGCGTAGCCGTAGAAGGAACGTCCCGGTAACAGCGGAGATGGACTACCCAGGGTGGCTAGAAAAACCACGTCTCTATGGCGGCCAGGGGCAAAAGGGTAGACAGCGGTTGGTACAAGGACCGCTCAGCTGTCAAAAAGCAAAATCAGTAGCCGCCAAAATCCGCAGCTTTTCACGACTAAGGGGCAATTGTTGGGCCATAGCTGAGCGGTATTGGGCTCGGAGGCCCACAAGAAGCCCAAGGAGGAAGGCCCGTCGGGGGGCCCAGGAAGCAGGCATGGGGAACGGAGAAAGGAGGGTGGCCGCCCTAGGATGGGACAGACGGTAGGCCTCCTGACACAAGGAGCCGTTACTTGGCAGAGGTCGAGATCTTCCTAAGATACTCCTCGAACACAGCAGGACAGGAGCATTAATTGTCCGCCGTAGGCGGTCTAGATAAAATATGGCTGATCTAGGGCGCCTGACAAGGGCATTTAATGCCCGAGGCCAGGCCAACCCACTATAAATACATTCATATCTGCATTGATGGTAACCCAACTACTCTCTCTCTAAACATAAACTAAAAACTCTTATTATATCTCTAACTTAAGCATCAGAGGGTATCCCGGGCGACCGCCCACGGACCCTTATTTTGCAGGAGCTTGGAGTCCCCCACCATCTAGAACAGACGCATCACTCGTTCTTCACAAGACCGCCTAGAACATTCTAGGCTCAAACAGTGGGGGTTTGGTATTTTAAGTATTCGTACCTAATCCAACCAATTATATGCCACAAGTATGCTATAAATCCTCCCACTTTACTATTAGAGCATTTGTACCACCCCAAGAATTATGTTTATCTCTTATACCGGAAGTCTTGTTCATTCTACTTCACTTATCCAAATAGTATCATAGAAATAAAATCAATCTAAATCGACATTTTGAGACAAGGCAAATGCCAAAGGATTCGTTTCGTTTTTACTGGGACTTTATGCAGTGCATGGTTTTCCCGGTGGAAAACTGTAAGGGAGGATAAATTTTACAATATATATCAAGATTTAAAGATATGGTTATTCGTTGATGGTGAGAGTGGATTTACCCAAACTGCATATGAGTGATTTTGGTATGTCATAGTAATAACCGCTACCCCGAAAGCCTTGTTCATTCTCCTTCATTTATCCAAATCATGGTTACTTTCATAATCGGTTGAGTAACCAATATATGAATGATTGTTTTATTGTGTACATCAAATAATGTTTTCGCAACATAAATGCCATATTTATTTTAAAAATCTTTCAGAATATGAAAAGTCATATTGGCTCGTTATGAAAATGATGAATTTGTGAATTTTATGAATTATCAATTCATGCCATAAGAGATCTTCAAGTTGACAACCGACATCAAGACGATTGGCTTCCCCAACTCAGCCAAATCCCACTCCCCCACTGTCTTCATATGGAAACCTTTCGCTGAAAATACTCCTATTAATGTCACCGCAGTCGGCAAATTCTACCATAGCAGTGATTCAGCGGCGGAGGGGTGGCGGCGACGGTGAAGGATGATCTAAATAACAGTAATACCAATCATTCTTTGATGATGTTTTCATGCTTAGGGAACGAGAGGCTGAGCCAAGGACTATCACTTTCTCACTCCACCACCCACCCTTTCACCATCGGGCTCCGATCCTTTGAGCTCATCCACCACCACAACCACCACCAAGAAGAAATGAAGTTCATGAACTCTAAACCTCCCGTAGAGGCAACAAATGGTGGTTATTTCTATGTCGCTATGTCATCATCATCGCCATTGGCGGATCCAGAGGTGGCCTACCCGGACCACGATCCAGCTCTTCCCTTGATACAGAGCTAAAATAACAAACGAGGCCTGTTTGCTTCCATTCTTCTCTGTCTCTTTCGCCCCAGTGCTAGCTAGTCGGTATCTAATTTTTTATTCAAATGCGGCCCAGTGCTCTACTATGATATGGATCCGCCACTAAGCATCGCAATAGTTTGAATTGAGAGGGTCAAGGTATGTCGAGGATTTGGAGTCTGCCCATGGTACTAACAATGTGACCGGTTCCAGGGCATGTAGAGTATTTGGAGTCAGAAAATGGAAATGGTGGAAGGAAAGTTCTCACTTTGATCCCCAGTAGATGATTGAAATTGGGCTCTACTTATGGGTTCTAAGCTCGAGTGGGTATAGTGTTCAGTGAGTTGAGTTTAATTCGTTTAGTTCATTATTTTTTTATTTATTTTTCTGTGACATAGCGTATTGACTGAATTAAATTAACGAATTATTGAATGAAGATGTATGAAATGATTGTTTTGTCATATGCCCAAATATGTTCTATTGAAATTATCAAAATTAAAATTTTATGACCAATTTATGCTAAGTGCATAAGTTTGTGACGTTTATGCTAATTATTAAATAAAACTTATATGAGCTTAGCCCAATTATTTACTGTTTCCAGAAGAGGGTTGCTAAACGTCGCCCTAGATTCTACTAAATCGCCCTAACTTAAAAATTAAAATGACATTTTTATCCCTCTTATTTTTTATTCTTAATATATAACAAACACAACAACTAAACAATATAAAAGAATAAAACAACTCTCTCCCGGAATCAAACTGCCACCAACTGCCCACATTACGAGGATCTCTCCTCTGCTCTCCGAAGATTACTTAAGTCGTCAATCCAAACCAAACGAGGTGAAGAAGAAGAAAAGGAAATCAGAAGTTCTAATTTAGTTAAGGACTATTATTTAACAATAAACTTCTAAGTACAGAAAACTATTCACGGAGCTGGCTTTTTAAGTTCTCGACGGCGACGGCGGAATCAGGAGGCGCATGGGGAATGGAAACGGCGATACTGCTACCCGTGAAATCCCTACTGCCAAGAATAAAAAGGTGCGGAAGGTTGTGATGGATGGGCCGGAGATCATCACAGGGAGAAAGTAAAATTTTTTGTATGGTGCAATTGTTTCAATTTGGCTGGGTGGATGGTGTAGCCGATAATTGGGGAGAGGGACGCAGATAAGGACGGAGGAGATGGACCGGCTGCAGATTGCTGGAGGACGGCAGCGGAGGACGGAGAGTATTTGGATATTACGTGGTCCACCGTATTGGAGGATTAGAGATTTTAGGATTTTTTATTTAATTTGATTTGATTAATGCAGGATAATTCAGTAACTTTATGTTTCAAATGAGGGCGATAATAATAGAAGCAGGGCGACGTTTAGCCATTCCAGAAAGGTTTAGCCCAATTACGTTTAGAAGGAAAAGGAAAATAAAACTGATTCCAGACCCTCGGACTAAAAATATTCGAAATCCAAAACGACGAGTTTTAATCTTCTTCTCTCACTTTACCCTAACACCCTCAGCCTCAAACCCTCTGCCCAAAAATCTCACACTCCTCTTCTTCCCTTCCCAGGCAAATCAGACTGCGTTACATAGCGGCCGCAATCCCAGCCGCTGCCGCTATCGCTATCGCAACCACAGCCACCGTCGCCGTCGCTCTCTCAAGGTCAATCCTCACGCTCCTCCTCGTTCTGCTTTCGCCACTGCTCCGAGATCGGTTTCACTGATCGGAGCATCCTTCTGGTTCCTCTCCTCGTCTGTCGACTGCAGGCCTTGTTGCCGCTAAGATGCACGCTTCTGCTTCCACTCCTTTGCGATTTCATCTCAGATTGTGCGTCTTTTCTTGCAGGTCGGAGAGTTTTTGATTTTGTTGCACCATGTCTAATTTTGCGAAGCCGGAGAATGCGTTGAAGCGCGCCGAAGGTTTGTTTCTCTCGTTTCTTTTGGAACGTCTTAATGAATCTCTTTAAGCATATGGATGGTGAATCTAGGTTCTGGTAGGGTAACTCTCTCGGTTGTTCCTTGTAAGGAAGTATGGAATTTCTGCTTCTGTTGAGTTGGATGTGGTCGGAGATGGATTGGATTTCTAATTCTTTGGAATATGCTTAGGAGGGGTCGTAAACGATGGATTGGCTTTGATGTTGCTTTTGTGATTTGTCTACGATTGAGAGTCATGGTGTTGTTTTCGCGATTCTGTGGATTGCAGAGCTGATTGCTGTTGGACAGAAGCAAGAGGCTCTCCAGACGCTTCACAACCTGATTACCTCCAAGAGGTACCGAGCATGGCAGAAGACACTCGAGCGGATCATGTTTAAATATGTCGAGCTGTGCGTCGAGATGAGAAGAGGGAGATTTGCCAAGGATGGGTTGATTCAGTATCGCATAGTGTGTCAACAAGTGAATGTGAACTCCTTGGAGGAGGTAATCAAGCACTTTATGCATCTCTCCACCGAGAAAGCTGAACAGGCTCGGACCCAAGCACAAGCACTGGAGGAAGCTCTTGATGTTGATGATCTCGAAGCTGATAAAAGACCAGAAGATCTGATGCTTAGCTATGTCAGCGGGGAAAAGGGGAAGGACAGGTCTGACCGTGAGCTTGTTACTCCTTGGTTCAAGTTCTTGTGGGAGACCTATAGAACTGTGCTGGAAATTCTGAGGAACAACTCAAAATTGGAAGCATTATATGCGGTAACATTCCTGTTTTAATTGTAGCTTTACTTTGTTTCTGGCTGCCATATGCAAGTGCGTATGGTGGAACTGATAAATTACATATCTTGTCACCTGCAGATGACAGCACATCGTGCCTTTCAATTCTGCAAACAATACAAACGAACAACTGAGTTTAGGCGGCTGTGTGAAATTATTAGAAATCATCTCGCCAACCTCAACAAGTATAGAGATCAGAGGGACCGACCTGATCTGACAGCTCCTGAAAGCTTGCAGATGTATCTGGAGACAAGATTTGAGCAGCTCAAGGTTGCCACTGAGCTTGAGCTCTGGCAGGTATTCAATCTAGTTTATTTGTTGTCCGTTGTTTGAGATATCCATTTTTGAACTTTCCTTTATTAAGGTAACCTTTCGGGTTTTTTTTTGGTCTACAGGAAGCGTTTCGCTCTGTCGAAGATATTCACGGCTTGATGTGCATGGTGAAGAAGACTCCCAAAGCATCCTTGTTGGTTGTCTACTATGCTAAGCTGACCGAGGTCTTTTGGATCTCGTCAAGCTATCTCTATCATGCTTATGCATGGTTCAAGCTTTTCAACCTTCAGAAGAGCTTCAACAAAAACTTAAGCCAGAGAGACCTGCAGTTGGTTGCTTCAGCTGTTGTCTTGGCAGCTTTAGCAGTGCCTCCATATGATGCTCGCCGTGCATCTCATGTAGAACTTGAAAATGAGAAGGAGCGTAATTTGAGGATGTCAAATCTCATTGGATTCAATCTAGATCCCAAAGCTGAGAGCAGAGAAGTGGTATTGTGATTAATGTTTCTTTCAGTGGATTTTTTTGATGTTTTGCCTTGGCACTCACAATCGTCCTCTTCTTTTACAGCTTTCAAGGGCTGCTCTCCTCTCTGAACTGGTAATTCGAACTTGTTATATTATTTTATAGTTTTGAGCTATTATGCTTTTCCTCTCTATGAGTGACCGTAGAGAGTTGTGTAACAGATCAGTTTTAGTCCTCGTCATTGATTGGATAAGTATATAATTCCGTTATGGACTCGGGTTCTTTTCCTGAAATTTCTATCACCTTATCATGTTTTGACGCTATGAACAGGTGTCCAAGGGTGTGCTGAGCTGCGCAACTCAAGAGGTGAAGGATATTTACCATCTTCTAGAGCACGAGTTCCTCCCAGTTGATCTTGGTGCAAAGGTGCAGCCTTTGCTGACCAGAATTTCTAAACTTGGGGGAAAGCTTGCTACAATTTCTTCTCTGCAAGAGGCTCAGCTATCCAAATATATTCCTGCTCTCGAAAAGCTTGCTACTCTCAGGTTACTGCGACAGGTACCTATCACTCTCTTTCTTAACATTTTTATGTTAGCTCTGAACAGGTTTATAGGTGGTCATTGTGTCCTAACAGTTAAACGTGTTTTTTTTCTTCCAGGTATCTCAGGTGTATAGCACAATGAGGATCGAGAGCTTATCTCGTATGATCCCCTTCTTTGATTTTGCTGTTGTGGAGAGAATTTCTGTTGATGCAGTTAAACATAAGTTCATTGCTATGAAAGTCGACCATATGAAAAGTGTTGTCATGTTTGGAGATGCGGTACTTTTCTAGCCTTGCTCTATATAACTATTCCTGTTTTTTTCTCTCTCCCAGCACTATACTCTCTCTTTTATAGTTTTGATCATATTATGCCTGGGAAACTTCTTTCAGCTTCTTGAATCTGATGGCCTCCAAGACCACTTGGCTGTGTTTGCTGAATCCCTGAACAAAGCAAGGTCCATGATATATCCTTCTGCTAAGAAATCATCAAAGCTAAGTGACATTTTACCTGCACTCGGAGAGACTGTCGATAAGGAGCACAAGAGACTTCTTGCTAGAAAGTCGATAATAGAGAAACGGAAAGAAGAACAAGAACGCCAACTTCTCGAAATGGTGATTACACATTTTATACTGTCTGTTTGTATAACTTCCTGTGCTGTCATTTGGTTGTGTGTTATAACACTAAGATGGTCTTTTGTAGGAACGAGAGCAAGAGGTGAAAAGATTGTCCGAACAAAAGAGAACAGAAGAGCAAGAGCAAAAGAGGCTGGCGGCAGAGTATGAACGCCTGAAAAACCAGAGGATCCTTCGTGAGATTGAGGAGCGCGAACTTGAGGAAGCACAGGCATTCCTCGAGGAAACTGAGAAGCGTAGTAAGAAGAAGAGCAAGAAGGGTGTTGTAGAAGGAGTGAGTACAAAATCCTTTTGTTATGCAGTGTTCCTTGCCAGTAGTTACATCTAGATACTGGTCTCAATTGTGCTTTAATTCTTACAGGAAAAGGTGACCAAGCAATCCTTGATGGAACGGGCTCTGAACGAGCAGCTCAGGGAGAGGCAGGAATCAGAGAAGAAACTGCAGAAGCTTGCTAAGACGATGGATCATCTTGAACGGGCTAAGAGAGAAGAAGCAGCTCCGTTGATTGAAGCCGCCTTCCAGCAACGACTTGTCGAAGAGAAGGCCCTACATGAACGTGAACAACAGGTAAGCTGTCTCCCTGCGTTAGCTTTATATATCTTTCATGTGTTCACTTGCTGAAGTTTGTTGAATCCTTAATCGGCTTCACGATACTTCATTATTGCAATCGCGTCCAATGGTGCAGCTGGAGGTTGAACAGAGCAGGCAACGCCATGATGGAGACCTCAAGGAGAAGAACAGGCTTATCCGCATGTTGGATAACAAGGTAAACACACACTGACAATCCACATTGCACTCTGCTCAGCTTGTTCTAGAGACTAGAGGTGCTGACACTGCCGGATTTTTGGGCCATACGTGCAGATGATTTTCCAGGAGAGAGTGATTGCCCGTCGACAAGCGGAGTTTGACCAAAGGCAAGCAGCAAGGGAAGCGAGGATCAATCAGATAATTCAGACGAGGAGACAGGAAAGGGAGATTCAAAGGAAGAAGATATTCTACATCAAGACTGAGCAAGAGAGGCTTGCTAGACTCAAGGAGGAGGAGGAAGCTCGTAAGCGCGAAGGTAGGACTCGTGCAACTGTTTAGTTATTTTGCCCGGGAGATTCAATTAAGCGAGATTCAGAAGCGGAAATTTCACCTCGAAAACCAATATCAAGTTTAAGTTTTGAGAGATTTTTTTAGAACATATGCCCCCTTCACATCTGTGGGAGTAATTGATTTGGTATATGTAGAGGCCGAGAGGCGAAGGAAGGAAGAAGCTGAACACAAGGCAAAGCTGGACGAGATAGCGGAGAAGCAGAGGCAAAGGGAGAGAGAACTGGAAGAGAAAGAGAGGCTGAGGAGGGAGGCTCTATTGGGCCCCAGACCTGCTGCTGCCACCGAGGTCCCGGTTGCTGCTCCTGTTGCTGCTGCGGCTGTTCCGGTTGCTGCTGCGGCTGCTCCAGCTGCTACTGGAGGTGCTGCTGCACCACAGAAATACGTCCCGAGGTTCCGTCGTGGAGGTGGTGCTGAGAACCCCCCGCCAGCCAGACAGCAGGCTCCTCCGTCAGATACCGATCGCTGGAGCAGTGGTGGCGGAGGCAGAGCTAGGCCTGGGGCTCCCCCAGAGGCGACTGACCGTTGGACCCCTGGTGGCGCTAGGCAGGATCCAGACCGACGTGGCAGTGGTGGCGGCCCAGCAGACACCTGGCGCCGTGGTGGTGGCAGCAGTAGCGGAGGCGGTAGTAGTGCTTCAGGGTCTGGCACCTGGTCATCTTCTAGGCGCTAAGCTTTGAATTTTGAAAGCCATTGATGCACTCTGCTGGTGTTGGTCTTGGGAGGTAGGGGTCGAATTGAATTTTTCACGGCGTACTGAAGGAAGTAATAACTTGCTGCTTTTGTTTTCTGTTTTGGAATCTTGAGGGATTTGTTGCCTAATTATCTTAAGATCTTGGCGGTTTCTGGTTTAGCAGCGTTGTTTTTTCCCCCTTTTTTGTTCAATTGAATGGTAAAATTGTAATGGTGGATACACTGGTATTGGAACCTCGTCGAAATTTTGTAGCGTATATTAGAACTTGTTTGCTGTTTACCGATTTGGTTTTTTTACCTCCAGAGTTTACCGAATAGTTCAAGTGTAGTTACCTTATTTCTGATCCTGGACTCCTGTAGGTTGCAAAATCAAAACCTGACTAATAAAGGAGGAAATAGATTGGATCTCTGGAAAAAATACAGATTACATGAGAAATATATATATAGTACATAGGACTTACTCTTGAAAAAGCTTATTGGTGCAAGTAGATTACGTGATTGATTATATTGCTTGTAGTCTGTGTTGAGTAGGGATAGTCATGGCAGGCAAAAGGGGTTCGATCAGATCAACCGATGACTGGTTTTGAGGCAAGGAGTTAAACAAGTGTCAGGAGATTGATAGATGAACCTTGTCGAAGTCAGTGTTGTGTTCAACTCCGCCGATTAGCTGGTTGGAAGGGATTGCTTTCTGTCGTTTTTCTATCTCTCTTTAATTCTAATATATATGATAAAGATTAAGGTTACAGACTAGGTCTAGAGCAAATACTCAAACGTGTATAAGTCCATAAATCGTGGATCGAAGGTGTTGCTCCCGAACCTTGCTACCCCGAGCTCCCTAAATGAGCACTGCTCCACTAAACCTCAACTTACTGATCGAACAACAAAATCTCATAAACTCCGGTCAACGACAGATAATCCGATTCAATGCATATGAAAAAAAATATCATTCTATTCATAAATAGTTAAATACACAAAACTCGTCGAGCCATCCGTTAATCCCTCTATAATATATAGCCGTTCTTCAGGAGATTTGGAGCATTTCAAATTCCTTGCACTCTCCTTAATTGTAACTAGGGGTAAATTTGTAAGTTCAACTTAGAACTTAAATATCTTCTTACGAGAAAAAAAAATATCATTAACAAGACTTGAACTCGAGTCCTTCAGATTGATAGTCAACATCCCTAACCAACTAAACTACAACAATGTTTATATATTTTTTGAATTAAAGATAAAAAATGCTGAAATATCTCAAAATCATACTATCAACAATTAATCATCGAATTAATTAATAACTGTAATTATTTACAAAGTGAGTTCCTCTGATCACACAATTCTTCACCAAGAATCAAATAGTACATTTTGAGCTTATGTATGTCTTATAACTTTTACATTTATTAGGTTACATGACTTTGCAGTTTGTAGGAATACAATGATTGTTTACAAAAGTGCTATACAAAATTTTATTTCAAAACATAATATTTGACATTTGTGAGATATGGTTTTGTAACGAGACATTTTCAATGCTATAAGTGGATGACCAAACATCATTGGCTAACAATTTCCCTAATGATTGACAATTATAAGCACAGAATTGAAAGACTAAATACCATTGACAAATGAGCCAATTATCATTGGCTAAATTTAACAAACAATGGTATGTGTATATACATTGAAAATTCTATGGTACGCTCGATGGATTGAGGGTTATTGCTTCTCCTTAGTTAAATAAAATTATCTAGACCATAGATTAATCACGTAACTCAACCTATCATAATTCTCTAAATCCTAATATAGTGCATATGGTATGTTGTAACTCAACCTATCATAATTCTCAAAATTATCTAGACCATTGGAAATTCTATGGTACGCTCGATGGATTGAGGATTATTGCTTTTCCTTAGTTAAATAAAATTATCTAGACCATAGATTAATCACGTAACTCAACCTATCATAATTCTCTAAATCCTAATATAGTGCATATGGTATGTTGTATACATCTTAGCGAATCAGGATCATTGATTATGTTCTTAGTATATGTGATATTAAGGTTTAAGTTCTATAGATTTAGGGTATATGATTTAATTATTTGAAACTTAATCTCCCTTTTCAAATTTCCTTCAAAGAGAGGGAAATTAGGAAGGACATTTTTGTCTTCACAATTATGTGTATTTTTTATTTATTTACAGAAAAAGATAGACATATTGAGATTTGAACCATGGTCACTTCAAACAAAGTGAAGGTTTAAAATCAATCAGACTATGTAGATTTGTTGTATTTTTTTAAATTAAAAATATATACGAAGCTAAAATATGAAATCACCGAACTTTTCAACAGTTAGCTAGCCCAATAAATATTCCGTGACTAATTTTTGGTCTTTTGATACTTCGATTTTGATATTTTTATTTTAATTATAGTATAATACTTAATTTAAATTTTTTATCTATCTTATAAATAGACGATAACCATAAATTTGCAACCAAAATATTGTTGGTTCGAATATTTCATATCTAATTATAGTATTGAATATGTAGAAACGATATATAATTCTTAAATTACCATTAATTTCCAGAACTATAGTGAAGCAATCATATCTTTGTGCAAACTATAGGGGACTGGTTCTCTGAACATTTTTGTCCGGTTAAATACTAAGTTTTGAAACTCTTCCTAGGGGTGTGCGTGGGTCGGTTAGTTTGGGTTTAGATATTTTAATCACCTAACTCATATACCACGATTTTGAAAACACAAAATACAAACTCACCCAAATAATTTAGAATTTTAACGGTTTGTGTCCTCCATACCAAATGAACCAATTTACATGTCGCTTACCTAAGGACGATCTCATTGTCCAATCTCATCATTCTAATGTCAATCCATAAAAGTAACTCATATTCGCGTTTGTTAATACATGTTTCACATTATCATTACTGTGACCGGTAACTTCGCTGCAACTGATTCGGTATTGCTCATCATATGGCCTCCAAACTAATAAACATATCGGGCCAGCAGCTTTATGACAAAACTCAAAGTGAAGACAACTCATCGTCTGGTGGAATTTTGGCACTTGGTGGTGTCCATTAATCTAATTGCAAGCATAATGATTGCTAAAATTAAGCTTTCACGCAATACACTTGGAGTAAAAGTTTATATTGGGTTTGGGAAGGGAAGTGGTGAGAGGAAGAAATTGTGTTTGGATTTGGTAGCAGGTAAAGTTCATGGTTCGGTTTCTTTTCGTAAAGTGATTTGATTTATTTTAGTTAGAGGTATAATATCATGGTTATGTGGGATCTAATGAACCAAAAATGAGCTTGGGGGATGGGAATTCCAACTTAGAAGGAGTGGATTAAATTTTGATAAACTCAAGTTCATGATTAACTGAAAGAATATTTAGATTTAGACTTTGTGGTATTGAGATGTTTATAGAGAGTTTAAAACTGATCCAAGGCCATAGATTGATATTGGTTAGTTGATTGTGATTTTGAGGAAGGTGTATGAAAAGCATGGAAGTAGTTTGCAGCAAGTGAAAGCAGTGAAGAGGCAGTTGGTCAGGGTAGTGATTGAAACAAGGAGGATATTGAAAGACACAGAAGCAAAATCGAAGCAATTGAAGAGAGAGAAGTGGTAGATGATCTGGATATTAATGAAAATGGAGAGGGTATTGAAGGACATGGAAGTGAACTGGATCAGGTGAAGGCAGAGAAGGAGGAGAAGAGCATATTGATGGAATTGAAGATGAGTGTTGGTTTTACGAGCTTATTAAAACTGCCTCGAGGAAGATGAGTTCGCCAAATACAAGAAAGAGGATTGAGGAGTTGGAGATCAAGCTAACAAGAAACTCAATTGATACAGAAATTCAGGTTCATGGAGAGAAGGTCCATCAAAGTAGCATAAACGGAGTTGCAGAAGGAGGATTAGAAATTAAATTTTGGTTTAAAACATATACGGCGAGAGATTGAAGATGAAGGGATAAAAAGTTGGTTGTACAACGGAGAGTGGAAACTATTGGATCTTTAGGTGTTATGGTTGTTGCAACTACCACAACCTATGTTTATGTTAAAATAAGGAATCATTGATTGATTTACTAAAGTTAAGGTCGATTCACTATTCAAACTACTGGAACCTGTAGATAAGGAGTGTCTAATTTTGTGTCTCATTACTTTGATGGAGTCTATTAGTATATTGGATGTAACTCTAATTTTGTCATTTGCTCTCAAGTTTTGATGGTCAACTCCAAACCACACTGGACGCAACACAGCTTTGACCAAGACCATATCGAATTGAATCTAATATGTCTTGGACCTTCATCCTACCAATCATACAAGTTCAAAAGAAAAATGTTCTGATGGGACAATTCAATCGAACTTCATCGGATCCCACCGGATCAAATGCACTTATGGTCCAGTGTTGGATTCTATGATTTGTTTCATTAATGGATCGTGTTTCTAATGAATATAAACAATCAAATATGAACATGCATAATGTTAATCGGCCAACGGGCCGAGTTATAAGCTAGTAATAGATACACCCATTATCGAATACTGAAGCCCAATGATTAGTTTTCGATGTAATGTGAATAATGGGCCCGCGGAAACTAGTTTGGACTTTGGAGTGAAGAAAGCCAGCTAGCTCTCTTCTTCGCTTTCCTAAAACCCGCCTTCAACCCTTTGTTCTTCTTCCACGGACGCAGTTTTTCGCGTAGTAGAAAAAGCTGCTGCCTTCGAATCGAAAGCTTTGCCCAGTGAGGGAGAAACAAGTAAACGGCTTAGCAATGAGCTCACTAGCTTCGAGATTCTCTAGCTTGTTACGAGTCTCTCGTACAAGCTCCCTCGTTTCTTCTTCAGGTGGCCTCTCTACCTTTTTACTTATCTGAATTCGCTTCCTGTACGATTATGTTGAATTTTTTTTAGCTCAGGACTGAAAATGGTTGGGGGTTGGGTTTATTTTGGGATTTTGTGGAAATGGGTTTTATTCATAATGCAAAGTTGTGAGCTTTGACTGCGATTGGTTAAAGTGTAGTTCCGTTGGGGAATTTTATCGAACGTTTGGTGCACGATAAGTTTTGGGCCTTCTAGAGTTATTGCGAAGGTTATCAGTGGAAAGTATGTTGTCTGCGTGCTCATTCGGATCGTGATTGCAGGAGATTGTGCTCAGAAAAGCTTGAGGGCGTGGTGCTCGTCGGTATCGTTTGATGATGTTAATAATAACAATGAGGTGAAGGCTGAGGAAATTGAACCCGAGTTTGACGACTTCATTGGTGACAAGCTGCCTGATATGCAACTCCAAGGTGTAGACCCTGGCAAAGGCTGGGGATTCCGCGGTGTACATAAGGTATGTACGGGGAGGATTGTTGCCAGTGTTCCCGTGTTTGATTGTTGCTGTGGGTTTGAGGGGCTCTCACTGAAGAAATAGAATCCAAATGATGGATATCTAACTTTCGTTCTTTAGTTCAAATAACAAGTCTAAGGATCTGAGCTGATAATCATTTTTGCACAGGCAATAATTTGTGGCAAAGTGGGACAAACTCCTGTGCAGAAGATCTTGAGAAATGGTCGAAGTGTAACAATCTTTACTGTTGGAACTGGTGGAATGTTTGACCAGAGACTGTTAGGAGCCAGAGACCTTCCAAAACCAGCACAATGGCATCGAATCGCTGTGCACAATGAAGCTCTTGGGGCTTATGCAGTTCAACAAATCGCCAAAAAGTATGTCTGTGAGAAGTCAAATCTCCTTCATTCATGGATGTTTGCCCGAGTTTTTATCTTGTCTGATTATAGTTACTTTTCCTGCAGCTCTACTGTTTTTGTCGAGGGGGACATTGAAACTAGAGTTTACAATGACAGCATTAGTGGAGAAATAAAAAACATACCAGAAATATGCGTTCGTCGTGACGGTACTTCTCCACTAGAGCTTGATGCCTTTGAAACTCCTATCTTATTGCATATAAGGCTTCTTCATGTTAATCTTACTCTTAGGTGGAACGTTTGGTATAGCTGCTATTAGAACGGGTTGTATTCTCAAACTAAGGGTGGGACAATGGATTTTGTTACCAGAACCAACCAAATTTTATGGGTTTGTTAACTACAAAGGAACCGTGTGGTTTTGGTTTTTGATACTAATGGTAGATTTATTTTCTTTTTTGTTTCTATTGATGTATAGAGGTCATTCTCCTATTGATGAAATTTCATCGAAATTAATAAATTGTTAACTAAAATCTCTGAAGTTTGTTGTGATTGAAGCATGTTGCCTCATGTTCAACTTCTGCTGTTAAAATTTTGGTTTAGGTTAACCAAAATTCTATTTAGTTTTTGTTCCAGTTTCACAAATACGTTTTTACGGGTTTCAGTTACTGCACCCCTATCTGGAACTATGACTAGCATAGGGGGATCTGAGTGTAAATGTCTGAGGAGACTTCAATATACACAACATGCATTACTACATCAAATAAATAGCTTCTGGAGTGCGACATATTTTGCATCATGGTATTGACATTGCATCAATTCTAAATGCAGGTAGAGTACGTCTCATAAAAGGAGGGGAAAGCAAGACTAACTTCGATCTTTCCTTCGAGGATCTCCGTAAGTTGTTGTCCTCCATTTCTAAAACTGAGTACCATGTGCCATGAACACACCTGAATTTCTTTGTCCCCTTAGTTTTCTAATTGGAGCCTTTCACTTTTTTTGTTGCAGGAGAAGGATTGTTTAACTGATTGTTCGGTTTCCATATCACGGGTGATAGTCAAACTAACACAAGGAACAATCACGGATCTAGCCAGCTTTGATGTAAGAGATTGAGTCAAAATTGGGATAACTGTTCGATGTTTGTGGGAACTTTTCATCATCAATCAGTCTCTTCCTCTCTCTCGTCCTCCCTCCGTGCTTAGTTAGCGAAGGGCTTCAGACCTTTGTGAACGAAGAATTTTATGTCTATAATCATTTCTCAAAGCTTGATTAGTAAATCCATATTTGCTGATAGTGATGGAGTTTGGTACTTTATATTACGTATCTATGCAGTGATTCAATAGGATGGCAATAGTGTCTACACCAGCTGTGAGATCCTGATAATGGTGTAGGTTTAATTCTACCTTCACTCAGTGTTCTAGAGTATGCAAGCAAGACCTAATTTCTAGTAACTTTAACGTCTGCACACGTTCTGGTTTTTCATTTGACATTCAATGATTTTTTAACATGATTTATTCATCACCTATTGCTGTGTGTCCAATGGATTGGTTTTACTTGTTCTAGGTGTGATTGCCAATACCACCAGCCAGATTTAGGGTTCTTATTCTGGAGCCAAGTGGCTATATGCAGATGTTAGAGATGTGGGGATTTGTGGTTAAGCTTTCTCGTCGCATCTTAAAGCTTTTTTTTTTTTTTTTTTTTAATCTGGAAGGTAAAATTAGTGTTCTTTTTATCAGCAAATGAAAGATTGACAAGCTGTTGGAGGAATCTCTCTCTCTCTCTCTCTCTCTCTCATTCCATGGTATTGTCAACTTGGAACCTTGACAGCCTTAATTATTGGCTAGAGTGTCTGCAATTAGTTGTCTTTCTGAATTTAGCACCTTTTCCTCTCAAATGAAGATAGTTTATTATTGCTATGGGAACTAATTAACTAAACCACTAAAGTGGTATAGTGGGAGCTCCTATAAAAAAGATCAAATGCCCCATTAGGCCATTAAGTCTAAACAAGGAAAGTGGAAAGAGCCTTTTGTTTCTAGTCTTTATTTTTCTTCACGTCCTCTGGTCCTTCATGTCCTTGAAAGTTAAGGCCTCCTGCAATGTTAATAGATGAAGACAGTCTTCTTTGCTTCCTTGTGTTTATTTACAGTCCATCTATCTGCTCTGTTATGTATCATATCATATCCACTGTCTTCCTCCCAGCTTATGTTTGTTTCAATTGGAATCTGGCTAAGTTAGTTAAGAGCTTTGCCAGTCACCCTTAGTTTTAGACCAGTTAGACCAGAAACTCGGTCGTTGTTGGTATGGTCTGCTGGCGGATTGTTGGTGTTGTATATCACATATACAAAGCGATGAATTCGACTAACGATCGAATTCACCTAGTGATGAATTTAGGGCAAGAATCCACCAAACATATGCATAGCCAAACAAGCCCTTGGTTTCATCTCATAATTCATAGGTTGGTTTGCTGAACCGGCTAATTAGCTTCCAAGTTCATGGAAAGTATTTTAAGTTATTAGTTCATCACTTTGGAATTTCCTTGTCGTCTTTTATAGCAGTCCTTGACATGTGTCCACCCACCGGTTGGCTGGTAATGCACTGATAAAGACCGCACTTTTCATTTTTTCTGCGTTTCTCGTACTATTAGTATTATGGAACTTTTCATATTCATGAAATGCCTGTTTCATTTCATGGTTATCCCTTAGTCCCAAAGACCATAACTACCTTATTCAGTTTTGTATAAATAGTGCTGCTGTGTTCTTGCCTCTGGCCTCACTACTTCACATTCCCTTTCTCTTTCTTTCCTAGCACAACAATGTTTAGGATCCTTTTAGCAGCCTTTCTTCTCACTTCTCTAACTCACATGTTGTGTGCCGAGGCATGTCCTCGGTGTGGCAACATGGAAGTCCCTTACCCTCTTAGCACCGGAGATGGATGTGGAGACCCTAGGTACAGAGTTTACTGCAACAATGGTGTCCTAGAGTTCATGTCGGCTGAAGGGTTTTACTATAGGATCCTGAGCATCAACCCATTTGCTTCTAGGCTAGTATTAAGCCCACCTTCGATACAAAGCAACTCGTGTTACTCTTCTGACCTCAAGTTAGGAGGCATTAGGCTCGACGACGAGTCCCCCTTTAACATTTCGACTCGTAACACGGTCATGTTGTTCAACTGCTCCGACAACATTCTTTTGTCGCCCTTGAACTGTTCCTCCAGTAGCTTTTGTCGTAAGTTTGAAGCTTTGGGTGTGGGGAGTGGATGCAAAGGCACCCTTTGTTGCCATTACTTAAAAGATTCGTCCATGAATTCTCACAAGATTAGGGTACGGGTTGGAGGGTGCACTGCTTACACGTCGATCATCGATGTGAGGCCCGACGATCCTGCCGAGACATGGAATTATGGCATTGAGCTACAATGGGCGCCTCCGCACTTATGACCTTTTGTTGATGCTCGGTTCGAACCAAATTCATGCCCGATCTCGGGTATCTTGTTCTCTCCTTAATGTGTTGGAGATTATATGTGTCCACCTTACTAGTGTGTTCATCTTGTTATGGTTTTCCTATGTTATAGTTATGCATGGATTTCAAAGTTGGAATGTACAATAACAGTGAGAGTGTTGTATCAAAGGATTTTTTGCTTGAAATAAAAGGTTTGTTTTAAGGATTGACTATTTCTTCAGTCTGTACAACTTGATTTCCTATTGCCATAAAGTTTTTGTGGTTGAATTAAGAAACATAAAAGTTTGCTAGCATATTTCGTTTAAAAATTGGTCGTTTTATGAACTCATGAACAAAAGAAAAGCCAATGGTTGACCACTTCCACTTCTCAGTCCTCATTACTCAACAATATAATAACGATGCCTCACTAATACATTTGACATTCCTTTGAATGGGAATGATAGATGGAGACACCATCAATTCATTGGATAAGAATTTGGCCTTTTTATGAATGATCGATGAAGATACAAAACCAGAAGCAAATCATTGGAGAAGACTTTCTTAAGCAGCTGGAATTCATTGGACTAGGTTTCTAAACCAACCCACTAGAAGGTGTTCGCTGCTTATTCATTGGATAAGGCTGTCTCAAGCAGGCTGCAATTGATTGGAGATTTCTTGAGCAACCCACTTGCAAATTGGTGACACTAATAGTTTAATGGTAAACTCGTTAACGAAAATCATACAATATGATTCAGATGGGTTTTTTTTTTTACAAAATGGAATCTTGTTTTGCACTCGTTTACAGAGAAATACAATGAAATATACTGGAGCCGGAACAAGAGTAAAGGAGCCGAAACAAGAGTAAAGCATCCCAGTGCTAACAGTTGAAACCAAACCGTGCTTAAGAGATACAACAAAGGAAAGCAAAACACAAATTGAGAACATCCTCCCCAAGGAGCCGAACAATGGAACTAGACACAGTATACCCAGAATCATTCTCAAATTCCAACCAAATAGAGTTGCAACAAGATCAGGATCAACTCATCCGATCACAACGATGTTTTTGGCGATTGAGCATAGCAATGCCATGTGCCACTTCCTGTGGATTGTTCATAGAAATCCAACACACTGAATCACAAAATCGGGATTACATGGCGGTGGACGATGTTGTGAAACAGATTGCTCCAAGCTTAATAGGCAGAGGGAGTCGAGGTAAAGAGATCGGGTCAAAGGAGAGTAGAAGATCATATGGGAGCCACATTAGTGCAAGGAAATACCAAGTTATCGCTGCCTGCAACCAAGTGAAGAAGAACCTACCCTCCACGATCTGACGACTGACCAAGCAATTACAAACAACCAAGGGAGATCGGAGGGAGATAGTAAACGGCTTCACCAAAGACGATGAACCAACCTACCTGGGAAGCCAGCCAAGCCACAGATCGCACAAGGCTCCCAAACTGCTAACTCCCACCCAAGTTGAGCAAGCCCATAACAAAAAAAAAAACCTAGATCCAAAGGAAGAGCAACAAGCCAACAACTCAACTAGAGATGAAATGGAAAAGTCACATCATCTAGAGTAGAAAACACAAACTGGAAAAATCTGAGGAGAAAAATGTCTAGAACAAAGGCAAGAGGAGCATGAGAATGACAAATAAAGAAAAACACAAAGGAAATAGAGAGCTTAAGCTGCCACCGGTCACCGAAAGGAGCCAGTGGCAACTGTCACATGTGGTAGATGACATGGCGCCAACAAGGTGACAACATGGCGGCTGCACATGTGGCGTGTATGGAAGACTAGTAGCATAGAGATGCTCATAGGATTCTCCACCTAAATGAGGGCTTAATGGTGCACTTATGAGTCACATAATGGGTGACATTTATAGAGTGCATAATGAGGGGACTTAATGGGTGTATTGATGTAAAGGGACATTATGAGGGGCATTGATGCCTTGTATGAGGAGAGACCTATATGAGGAGCCATTTCCCTCACTTTTAACTCATTCCATCATTTTTTGAAGTAATATACACACTAGAGAGTTCTCCATTCTTCTTTGTCTTGTTCTTGCTTCTTTGCTTGCTTGTGAGTTTGAGAGAAGGCTTCTTAGTTCTCTAACGGAATTGAGAGCTAAGGCCGCACGAACGGGAGTAAGGCCGTGACAAGTGGTACTAGAGCCCGGTTTGGCTCGGGGCTAGCAAAGAAAAAGCAATAGCCAAACGAAAAGGAAGAGCCTCGCCAAAAATGTCGGGATCAGACAGCGGCGTTACCGATGCTAACAAGCAACGTGGAAGAGGTGCAACCAATGGCTCGAGGCCAAAAGGTACGTCGAGCACTTGTGATCCTTTCACGTCTCTAGAGAAGCGAGTCTCTAGAATGGAGGTGAAGCTTTCCAAAAATGTCACCGCCATGGAGGATTTGGGAGCTAACTTCACCCAAGTCCGGAGCGATGTTCAAGGAATGAATGCTCGGTTGTCGAGCTTGGAGATAGTCATGAGAGAAGAGCTTGTAGCCCTCATCAACAACACCATCTCCGCCTCCATGAACAACGCGATTGATACCTTGTATGAGGACAAGCCTATATAAGGAGCAATCTCCCTCACTTGTAACTCATTCCATCATTTTTTAGAGTAATACACACTAGAGAGTTCTCCCATCTTCTTTGTCTTGTTCTTGCTTCTTTGCTTGCTTGTGAGTTTGAGAGAAGGCTGCTTAGTTCTCTAACGAAATTGAGAGCTAAGGCCGCAAAACCGAGAGTAAGGTCGTGATACAACCCTGAAAGGGAGAGGGAAAGTGAGTTTAGAGAGAAGGGAGAGCAAAATTTCAAATTAAAGGGAGAGGGAGAGTTTATCCAATTATAATGATTCAGCTTTTATGAGTTACGACTACCAAGTACCAACAATAAGATTTGCAACTAGTTTTAGGTCCATTGCTAAAATTAATAGAAGAGCTTAGCAGAAGCGGCGCTCGTCACTTTATATATTCATATATCAGCATCAACCATAACTCTATTACATGGATGAATTAAGAAAAGCTGACATTTGATATTGGCTTATGACTTCCCAATTTAATTCAACGAGGAAGCTATTTGCCTGCCAGCAATGGTTTTTTAAGTATATCAGCAAAAGCAATTCCATAAGTAAAATTCGTTACTTACAAATTCTTCATCAAGCTGTTAGCAATTCAATCAATCAATTATGAGAAAAGTTAAACCCACATCTCTAAGCTATCCAAATGCAAACTCAGTCCTCTATTACAAAGGGTGAGGCACAAACCAACATCATCAACAACAACATAGACAACCGGGGGGGGGGGGGGGGGACATTGGTGGTTATGTACTCTTGTTACCGGACATTGATTGATTTGCTTGCTTACACAGTCACTGTGTGTCTGCTTGGCCGTTTCCCTTCCATTGCATCTTTCTTCTTCCGACAGTTAGTGCACAGGAAGGGCCTTCCCATGGCTTCGATCCAGGTGCAAAAAATGGATCCGAGTTAACTGAGAAACCATCTCCTGGTGTTTGGTCCACCTGGAAGACCGCACATCTATAGAGGCATGCGTTTCTGTCTGAAGGCAAATCTTTCCCCAGTCTGCAATTCATGTCATTCGAAATGGCAAAAGCATGAGTGAAGAACAACATAACATAGAACTGGAGCCTTCTTTTCAAGGTTTAGAACTAGAGTTAAGGAGGCAATGTATTAGTTCGAGGAGTGGGATTGGTTTCAGAATAAAAGACATAAGTTTCTGGTTTGGTTAACCGAAATTTCAATCACAATAAACAATACCTGTCAAAGTAAAAATAAACCAAGATGATACAGAACTAATACTAAAACTAAAATACATTCCTTGATTTCTAAAATCCAAGAGAGCAAATCTAACAATTATTAATGAACCAATACGTTCTGGTCTAGGTATGACGTTCAACATCCTTAAATTACAACCAATTCCAGCATGATTCGAGTAAATTCTAGTAAGGTTTAACAGAGAAATTTAGTAACTTGTGGTAAAGTTCATCAATAGGTGAAGGGCCCTTTAGGGATCAGTGAATATTGATTACTTCGGCGTTGCTTATCCTAAAACGAACAACTGAAAAAAATAATACAGTTTGGTTAACTAAAAACTGTGGAATTTGGATTTATCAGAAAATATTTCCACACAACGATACATAACCAAATTGTGCAGGAAGTTCTCTATCAAAATAGAGAACTTGTGATTGTACCTCTCTGCAAGCATGGCGGAACCCTCTTCAAACAACTCTTCAACGACACCGGTAGCCGAAAGCTTATTTGCTGCCTTGTTAGTAGAACCGGGAGATTTCCTTCAAATGAAGAGTGACGTGAGCATATTGTTCTTCTTCCGAGGTGCTGTAGGTAAGATAGGAAAGTCTGATGGAATGATGTCAACAACAAGACATGTTGTATCATCCTTCAAGCCCCTCGACCTTAAAGCCTCCTGAAGATCCAACCAAAACTAACCCTTGTAGGATCCCAAAAGAATTCAATATGGGAATCCATCTAAAAAATAGGCTCACCTTAACAACTAACTTAACAGCAAGCTCTGCAGGTAAACCTCGACAAGACTTGGCAGCCATATCGGAAGATAAGGCATCCCAAATACCGTCTGAAGCAAATGATCAGTCATCCTCCAGCATTCGGGAGCTAATAATCCAGACAAGTGCTCGCGATAAGGTACTGATTACAGACAGGTTTCCTCCAACCATTAAGGCCAAATATAAGGTCAATCAACTTACTTTCACTTGTTTAACATGTGGTGTAGGAACGATGTACTCCCCAACATCAGTGTCACCAATTGACCTCGATAGGCATAATCCACCAGGCCAGCATCGCAAAGGACCAACCTGGAAAGAAATATAACATAAAACAGACTGAAGCAACAAGAAAAAAGGGAGCAAGATATTTTCTCGTTGTTCATTAAACATCTCAAACATAAGTATCGGCAGATGGATCAAATTGCATTCAGCTATACCTCGTTACCCCCAAAAATATTGAGTCTTCCAACTTCACCACCACTTGCAGTCACACGCTCCCTCTCTTCAACATTCTCTTCAAGCCTATGATCAACCGTTAAGAGGGATAATACGCCTCCTTGAGTATCCAATATGCATCGTGAATCACCGACGGAGGCAACAGTAATCGTCCACCCATCAATGGCAACAAATGTCACGGTCGTTCAAGAGGTTTCACATATCAGTTAGCAAAAACCAAGATTGGGGCGATAATTATAAGATGTAACTGGAAATGAAAATTGGACCAGGATATAAGTAGGTGCAGACCTCTCTGTTGAAATTCTATATCAGTCTTCACAAAACCAGCAACTAGTGCTCTAGGAAGAGCTTGAAGCCATTCTTCTCTGCTAGCTCCTTGAGGGATTGCACTCAAGACATTGTCCAATAAGTGCTCCTTTGCAAAAATGGCTGCCGAGATGCCATTGTGTACATCGAAATATATGAAAACAGAAACAAGGTCGAGATTTTAGATATCTGCAGTATCACGACCAAAACCACCCTCTTTCCATGCGAAAGGGTATAGAACGGTACCGCGAAGACCGAAATCGAAGAAGACGGGTTTCCAGGAATCCTTTGAAAATCGGTTTCTACTAAGAAGTAATCCTCCTCTTTCTTTGCAAGAGCAGCTTGTCCATACTTCACAAAAGGTTTCTCGAGCTTCTCATTCCTTAGCTCGCGACCAATCAATGTCACGAGTGGAACGAGAGGAGGCTTTGCCCTTGGTACTTCGGCCTGGCTCATTGTAGTAGTTCAGGTGTCAACATTTTCACAACCCCATTGGCAAAACCCTATTCATATTGTGAACCAAATTCTTTCAAAATTTTAATAATCTTCGAACTTTAAGCAACAAACAGACAAATGAAGACATTTGGAACTAGTAAGATTGGGCTTAATCAAGTAAAAGAACCTTCATTCATTTTCATATCATCTCGTAATCTCAATCACAAGTCTTCCATAACATGCAACTCCTGGCACTTCCTTTAACTCATTGAAAAGCAAGTAATTGACCAAAATAAGGAAGACCGCATGCAGAACTCCATCTCAAACTTTCATCGCACAATCTACACTTAGTTGATCTGAAAATTATAGTCAACATCATTGCAATGTGTTCATATAATCTCTAACAGCAAGCCTAAAGAAACCCATAAGCCGAATAAGAAATTAACACATGGAAAATAAAGAAATCTCTTATTCAACACGATTCACAAAACTAATCTCCGCAGCCAAAGAAATCCACATCGAGCCTTTTTGCCCCAATCTACCTTCAATGAAAGGCACAAAATTTACAGCAGACGGAACTTTTTAGCTGAAGAGAAGAAAACCCCAGAAAGGGGAACTTACAATGGGAACATGGGTAGGCATTAATAGATCCAGTTTGGGCGATAAAAGATCTACAAGCTCTCCATTTCCCGGCGGCAAAAACCGAAATTTTCTGCGAAAATGGCAAGAGCTGCCGGAGAGATTGAAAGAGAGAGAAGAAAGGCAGAAGTGTTACAGAGAGAAAGTGAGCGAATTTACAGGAGGGTTTTGGTGATTTGATTGGAGGAGAAATCTAGAGCGAGAGAGGACAAAGAAAGAAGGCCAGAGCAGGACGACGCGGGGGAAACTTTTTCTTCTCTTCCGGTGGGAGTCGCTTTGATAATGACGACGATTAGTGTCTTTACTAATCTCCTCTTCTTTGATTGATTAGAGGAAGGAAACCAACAAGAGGAGAAGGAGGATGAGATATTTTTTGGAATATTGTATGGGAGAGAGACTAGAAATATATTTATGATAATAATATACAAAGTTTTCTCCAAAAATAAGAGTATGCAACATAAATTATTTGGATGATAAAAATGTTAATGAAGAAGTTTAGATAAGAATAACACCCTCTTTTTCTGTTTTCTTTAAATAAATCATTTGATATTATTCACACAACGTATTTGGAGTACTATGTTTAGTAAATATAATATATTTTTTATATCGAAAGTAGACCAAATGAAAGAAAGATATGTAACACAACTTGGTAGCGTGTAATTAAAAAAAGTATTTGGATGGTCTTATGACAGAAAGGCGTTAAGACCTTAGCTGCATCTTTAATTTTGTCTATTAATGTGTCAAGCGCACAACAAGATAATATCTGCTTGGTAGCAATAATATTGGCAAATAACAATCCTCAAATTTAGTTTTGAAATATTTAAAAAATTAAAAATTTTAATGAATGATTTTTTATCAATGATACCACATAATTCTCCAACACACACTTCCACAAATGTTTGGGTTTATTTTTTTATGATATAACGAGTTAGAAATGTTTCGAGGAGAAAATATTTGTCATTTAATTTCTATTTTAATGTTCTTCTTGCCACAAATTTGTGTTATCCCTACATTAACTACGTGCCTAAGAATGCCAATTCCCAACTTGCAAATGTTGACTCATCAAATTAAGGTTATGCCAACTGAACATAAAAGTATAATTTCTCTTTTGGGATAATAATAATAAAAATAACAGTAACATATAACATTAACAACCAAAAAAAGAGTTTGGTATAATTATGTTGGTTGGCAAAATGTATGAGTGGGGACGAAAAAAGCTATTTTTTGCTATTTATCTGATTGTTAAAACTTCTACTCTTTGTGGTTTCAAAAACTTCTATTCTTTGTTTGGGAAGCATTTAAAGAAGTATTATTGATTGACATTGTAATGTATCACCAACAACGTGGATAGTAAAAAGTAAAAACAAATTTTAGTCTGTTATTTTGAGAGAGAAAAAATAATAGTAGCCTATAAGCTCGAATTTTGACTTTTTTTGTTTGTTTGTGGGATATTTATAACAATCGAGATAATATCGAAGGTGCACGTAGTGATTTCATAATAAGAAGAGAAATACTTTTATAAAACTTATATTTTTATAAGAGAAATCCATGTTTATGGAATAAATTCAAGGTATATAAATTACATTGGTCCTCACGAAATCATACCTAGTTGAGGTTCAAATGAGAAAGCAAGACATGGTTCATTCATGTATTATAATCATCCGATAAGATGAGTTGATTTCAATTTCATTGGATCACTTTTATGAGGAATTTTACTCCTTATTTTGGTTTAGATTCAAATAGGAAACCAAGACATAGTTCATCAATGTATTTTTATCATCCAATAACATGAGTTGATTTTGAGTTTTTTAATTTTGAAATTCTGGAAGTCTATAAACAGGTCATGGCATGAACTCTCAAATATGTGGGGCCTTAGTAGTGATGCCTGGATGTTTGTAGATTGATGCATAGTTAAGTCAGGGGCTAAATTACACGTTTGGTCACTCAAATTATACAAATATTTCATGTTTGCCACCCAAATTACTTTTCTTTCTTATTCACCACTAATTTTACAAATCGTTTCACCATTAGTCACCGACCGTTAGACTCTGTTAAATTTGTCCTACGTGGCAGTCAACTATAAAGTTTGACCGTTAACTAGATGATGTGGAAATTTGAAAAAAATTAAAAATTAAAAAAAATATTCCACCTCATCATTTCACTTACTTTCTTTATATAATTGACCATATTAATTATTTAATAAAATTTAATAAATTACAAAAAATTAATCATCAGCAAAGAGAAGTGAGCTGATGGTTGTCGAACTATCCAATTTCCCCTTGGGGAAAAGGAAGATCTGGGGCGAGCACATCCTCTATCTGCAACCGCTCCACCGCTAATCTCCCCGATCATTCTCACGGCGAACGCCATCCCGTCTGCGAGCACCTCTTTGTACACGATGCTCCCTCCGCTGCTCTAACCCAGGCGTCTCCATCTCCCGATCACCCGATCCACCATCACCAGCTTACCCCCTCTGTCGTCTGCGTTGCCACTATTGCTCGCGGCTCCTAGTCTCCTAGGACTACTCCGATCTTCCCGGTCGCTGTTAGTTCCTATCTTTCCTCTCCACCAATATTGGCCTTCAGGCACGATGCCCACCATTTTGTTTGGCCCCAAAACTTCCCCATAATGAAACTGACCCGCCTTCTTTCCTTTTCACAACTTCCCCCTAAAAGCAAATCAATTTATCACTACACAAAAATTAACCAAACCTTATTTCATAATGAAACAAGAAATCAATCTTCTTACTCTGTTTGCTAGGGTCTTTCGTTCACCAGCTTCCGCTGAAGCGGCGGCGGCTGTAGCAGCCTTCTTCTTTTTTATCTTGTAGACAGATGATGATGAGTACTAGCACTCCAATTCCCGCTAAATCCGCAATGGCGATGGCGACGATAGTGCCTGGTTTTAGCCCATTGTTCTGAGCTTGAGCTTGGGTTTGGGTCGGGTTCGCGTCATCGGAGGAGTTTGCAGCCGCTGAGGAATCTAACGGCTTGGTGATCACGGCGATAGCTGGAGATTTTTTCGAAACGTTCGGCGGCGACAAGATAGTTGAAGGAATCGAGCAGAGATTCTTGAGTGACTTCCCGCAAAGATCCACATTCCTATATTTTCTTCCTCTTACCCAACGGGTGAAATTAGATAATTAATTTTTGTAATTTAATAAATTTTCATTAAATAATTAATATGATAAAGAATAAAGTAAGAGGATGTTGAGGTGGAAAAATAAATAATTTATTTATTTTTTTTAATTTCCACGTCATCTAGTTAACGGTCAAACTTTATAGTTGACTGCCACGTAGGTCAAATTTAACAGAGTCTAACGGTCAGTGACTAACGGTGAAACGATTCGTAAAGTTAGTGGTGAATAAGAAAGAAAAATAATTCTGGTGGCAAACGTGAAAGATTTGTATAATTTGAGTGACCAAACGTGTAATTTAGCCGTTAAGTCAGAGTATCCAATACTATTAAGTGAGGTCTTTTGGTTAGGCTTTCTCATGCACGAGTTGGACGACACCCTTAGCTAATGATACACCACTCTTTTAGTACCATAGTCTTAGTCTTGTTTTGCTTGATACCCACATTAAGTGTTGTGTGTATTTAAGCTTTTAAGCACTCGTCATAATCTTAACCACGCAGTCGCTTTTTGTTGTGTGATATATAATCCGAGAGCTCTTTTATGCGGGGCACAAGATCATCCCCAACTAAG